AAGAAAGAAAGAAAGAAAGAAAGAAAGAAAGAAAGAAAGAAAGAAAGAAAGAAAGAAAGAAAGAAAGAAAGAAAGAAAGAAAGAAATGTGTAACTTAAGAAAGGAGATGTTCTTCAAAGACTGAGAACTTTCTTTAACAGAATGAATGGGGCCTGTGAGCCCTGTTCAGGTGGTCCCTCTCTGATGGCTCCTGAGTCCCCCCAGGGCTGGTCTCTTTCAGAAATCTTGTCTATAAGAGAGGAGCCTCTGAAATGACTTGAGGGCTCCCACACTCCTGTGCATCTGACACACTATGTGTTTCTCACTTCCCAGGAGAAAGCTTAACTCTAAAATAACTTTATTAAGATATGACTTACATTTAACAAGTTAGGAACAACCTCACCTTTGTATTATTTCATCTTATTCTTTTGAGACACAGCTTCATGTAGACCAGACTGGTCTTGAACCTACTTTGTAGTCAAGAATGACCTTGAACTCCTGATTCTCCTGCTTCTGTCTCAAGTGCTGGAATTACACATGAGCACACCTTACACTTTTGGCTTTTCTGTTTGTTTGTTTTTGTTGTTGTTGTTGTTTTTGTTTTTTTGAGAGAGGGTCTTGCTGTGTAGCCCTGGCTATCCTAGAAGTCCTTATATAGACCAGTCTGACCAGAACTAGTGGCCATCCGCTTGTCTCTGCCTCCTGAGTGTTGGCATTCCAAGGGTGCTCCATCACACAGACTTGTCCTCTTGCTTTATTCTCCTGAGTAGCTGGACAACCTGTATATGATGGAGCAGCCAGTCTACCCATTCTAACTGTACAGCTTGAGGAGTATTTAAAGCTATGTCCATGTGTAACCATCACCACAATCAATAGAGGACCTTTCTGACTACCCTTGAAAGGTTTTCTGGTGATAGTACTGGGGACTGAACTTAAAGCCTCACACAGACTAGGCCAGCCGGGTTACTTCCTCACCTCCAGTTAGCAGAAGGCTTTGGAGAATTAGCCACGTCCTTGCATGTCAAAAGCTTGTCTCTTTTTATTGTTGAGTGCTAATCTGTTGCACAGACATACCCGTACCACAATTTGTTTATCTGGTCACCAGGCGATGAACAAGACTTCAAGTGTTTCCAACTTGGAGCTCCTCTGAATGAAGATGTTATAAAAGTGCTAGTATAAGCAAACCAAAACTAAAATTCCTGAAAATTCAACAGAACTGTCCAACAAGTAAAAAATAGGCTACTCCTCTGGGGTGTAAGAGAACAAATAGTTGATATTCAGTTGAAGAGCAAGCCATTGGCTTTATGAACAGCAACTACCACTAAGATGGAGGGTTGGGGGTGGGGACACTTTCACTAAATAAAGAAGGCTGCTGAGGCGTCTTCACAGCCTGGGAAACATGGGTTGCAACATCACTAGGAGGACAGAATGATACATGCAGCAGTTGTTTAATTTTGACAGGGACTGGAATTGGGCCAATGGACTCATGACTGTTTTCCTGTCTACTTTTTCAGAGTATTCTTGATGGCCTGTCCAGGCACAGAAACAAAGGGCTCTATTTCCAGAGTTGGACGGACTTCCCGGGCTAGGCAGCTTTGGACGGACACACACACACACACACACACACACACACACACACACACACACACACACACACACAATCTTAAGGGCTGTTGGAAAGATGAATGTGTAAATCACTTTGTAAGTGTCTAGTACCTAACCAGGACTCAGTGGGCAGTATTATACTTGGAAATCATGTTTAGAAAAACCAAAAACCAAATGTTTCTTTAGAAAGCCAGGATGCTTTAGTGTAGTTTTTAAGCCACACCCACTTCTTCCTCCATTATTTCCATAAGCATCGAGTAACTGGATTAAGCCAAATCTGGGTAGATTTTAGAAACATCTCCCACCAGTCCCGGGAGCTCTGGGTGGCTTCTTCTTTTATCAGTCTCCTCTGTCGCAGCTCTCTGGTGAACCTATCTGATCTCATCTCAGCCACCCTGGAGCACTAACTGCGAGTCTGGGTCTGGGTAGCCTGGGGTTTTTACCTGGGACTACTGGGGTTTCCGGGTTCCCTCTGCACCCGTGTGTCCTTTTTGATAGACTAGAAGGGGCCCTAGTTGAACTGGAGGGTATGGGTTTGAATTCTGACTTTATTGGCCCTGCCCCCAGCACATTTTGTTTGGGTCCCTTTGGACATCTTTTCCCCATCACTGTAGGTAACACATTACCTCACTAGGCTGCAACCGGGTTTCAAGACGTAATGCTGCCAGACTGCCCCAACAGATGCGTGTTCACTCTTGATCGAGTGCACTTACTACCCAGGCTTTTTACATTTTCCCACAATCCCGGAACTCCCTTGGCTGCACTTGTAGCTCAGATGAAAGGATCTGCGTTGACTGCCGCAGGAATCCCTCAGTGGAGAATCAGTATCACCCTGAACTGGCTGCCTCCTCAGGGCTTAGGCTCTCACCTGGGTTTTTAGTTTAAGGGTTGCCTCTTACGGAACTGTCTATCCTTAGGTAAGAGGTTGGGGTAAGTTGGGCTGATCAGATTCACAAGCTGCCAGGGAGCCAAGAGTGGCTCTCGGCTCCCTCCCCTTTCCAGCCCCACAACCCCCTAACCCACCATTCCTAGTCGCCAGCCCCTTTGTGGGGTATCCTTGCTTTCACTGATCTGCAGCAATCTGGCTGAAGATTTGCAACTCCGGGTACGGGCTGTAGCTCCCCCACCCCACCCCGCAGGCGGTGTTAGCCAGGCTAGCTTTCCAGGATCCTCCCCCCGTGGGAGGTGCCCGCCGCCTGCCCCTCCCCCTCAGCCCGGGACTCAGACTCCCAGGTGAAGCCCCGGGGTGAGCTGGGAAGGGGCGGGACGGCGCTCTGCCGCCCGCGCGGTTTGAACGCAGGCACGCGGGCCCCATTGGGTGAGCGCGACCCCGCCGGGCGGGGCCAGGTGCTGCATTCCTGTACCTTTGCTTTGGGTTAAGCCCAGGTGTTTTCCTGTTGTTTTCCAGAAAGCCAATGGTAGTTTTTCCTGGCGCCACTCCCAATCCACCCCCTCCCAGAAAAGGGGAGGTGTTTCTGCAAAAAATTCCTCCCTAAGATATTTGGGCGCGGGGCGAGGGGAGGGGGACGGCGAACCGCGGGGCTCCCAAAGTCATGCTTGGTTGCTTTAAATTTGCATTTTTATTAAGGAAGGAGATAAAAAGCTGAAGCCAGTGAGCGCTGGGAGTTGTTTACTGTATACATGTGATAATGGGACTCTTCGAATTAAAAACACTTATAACGAAATACTATTCTAAGTAATGTAGCTTCGAAAATGAGTTTAAGAAAAGGAAATTTAGGGCTGGAGAGATGGTTCACCCGTTTAAAGGCTAGGCTCACAACCAAAAATACAAGAAAATTTAGCCCCGCAGATGTGCATGCATGCCTTTAACCCCAGCATCCAGTGGGCAGAAGCAGGCGGGTCTTTGTGAGTTCACGGCCAGCCTGGTCTATATGATGAGTTCCAGGACAGTCAGAGTTACGTGGTGAGACCCTATCTCAAATAGTTTTTGTTTTTGTTTTTTTGTTAGAACATAATCAAGACCAGACAGTCGTTCGCCACCACGCCTAGCTCTACCTTTTTATTTTCAGCTACACCAGGTCCATTGCCAGGTTGGTTCCCAGCAGTTTTGTAACATACCAAAGGGGAACAAAACGGATTCTCATGTTTTCTCTCCCTGTCCTCTTATTTTCCAGTCCAGAGCACAACCACCAGAAGACAGCAGAAGGAAGCCAGTGTTGGGGAAACTTGGCACTCTTTTTACGGCTGGAAGGAGAAGGAACACCAGGAACGGGCTAGAGAGTCCCACCAAATCGGCCTCTGCCAAACTTCCTGAAACAGAGAGTGAGAAAAATAAGGCTCAGGGCACCCAACCAAAGCCAACCGACGCGGGCGCGGCGGGCTCCGGGCAGGAGGCAGAGGGCCAGCCTGCGGAGAGCTGTGTTCAGACAACCCCCTGCGACGCCGAACTGTCACCTTGCACCAACAACAGTGTAGGGGTTGTGCAGCAGTGCCACGGCAGTGATTCAGCCCAATTAGAACCTCTGCAGGCAGAGGGAGAGACTTTCCCAAATGCCACCACCGCTGCCAAGGAGCTGCATTCCTCACCAGGGAATTGCTCCGGGCAGGAGAGCGCAGAGACGCCCGCCCGCAGTCCGGGGGAGGACGCGTTGCCAGGCGCTGGCCTCCAACCAGAGACAGCGAGGGGTGTGTCGGGGTCGCCGCCTGAGCAGCGCCTCGTGGGAGGACTAGGAGAGGCCCCCGACGGAGCCCCCGGCGTGGGTGCCGAAGCGGGCTCTCTGGGGGGCCCTGGGGAAGCGGTTGCGCCAGGTGAGCCTCCCTCCCTGGGCGCAGAGACCAGCCGCACAGCCCGGTCCGTCGACCGCGCGCATCCCTCCAAAGTGCTAACATTGGACATCTACTTGAGCAAGACTGAGGTGGCGCAGGTGGACGAGCCGGTCCCGATAGCTCCGGGGACAGACGATTGCGACGATTCGGACGACATGGAGAAGAGGTCAAGCGGCCGCCGATCGGGCCGGCGGAGGAAGTCGCAGAAATCCACGGACTCCCCGGGCGCGGACGCCGTGGCGCCCGAGAGCTCGGCTAAGGACGACGCGGTGTTCGACGACGAGGTGGCGCCAGACGCGGCCGCTGAGAACGGCTCGGCGGAAAGGAAAGTGAAATCGGCACACGCGACTCCCGACGCGGCCGCAGCCTCCGTCACCAGCCCGGAGCCCAAGGCCAGCGCCGGCCCCCGGGGACAGCTCCGAGGGGAGCCGGACCGCGGCAAGCAGCTGCCACCCGCCTCGTCGCCCACCAAGCGGAGGGGCCGCAGCCGCGTCCCCGAGGCGGTACCCAGCGGCGGCCCGCGCGCTCCGGCCAAGGAGTCCCCACCCAAGAGGGCGCCAGCCGCGGCGGACGGCGGCGGGGAGGAGGCGGGCCGCGTCGTCCCGCGCGAGCTCACCGTCAAGAGCAGCTCGCTGCTGCCCGAGATCAAGCCCGAGCATAAGAGAGGCCCGCTGCCCCACCACTTCGACGGCCGGGGCGACGGCGGCCGCAGCCGAGAGTCGGGCAGGGGAGCAGGAGCGTCCGACGCCGACGGCCTGAAGCCCAGGAACCATTTCGGCGTGGGCAGGTCGACTGTGACCACTAAAGTGACCCTGTAAGTACCCGCAGAGTCAACCCCTGGGCAGGGGCGCTGCTCAGAGTTGTACGGCTGTCTGTAGTCTGTGTGTTTTCCTGCTGAAAACTTTCAAAGAGAGAAGGAGCTGTTTGCAGAGAGAGCCATGACACACTTGGCAGCCTCCACGGTTAATTCCTGCTTTAATATAAGATCTAAGTTAAATGAATGCAAAAATAGGATATCCCTTGAGGCGCGGTGTTTATATAAACAGCAGCGATAAGGCTTAACGGCTCCATTTAGCTAATTATATTCCTTATCCAAAGTGTACAGGGGTATTTCAGGGTAGTCACAGGGAGCCAGCAGCATTTTGAGTGACCCAGTGGCTTTGACAGGGGAGACTTTAAGAGAATTTTTAATGAAAGTTAGTACATTGTTGTAAGCTTAAAGGAAGTCTCTAATAATTCTCCCTTCTGTGAGCTAGGGAAGCTGTTGGTATTTTTGTTTCTGGACTGGAAATAACTTTTCTGTTATTGAGATGGTCGCTGTTATTGCTAAAATATTACCTAAGTGAAAGGACTCAAAATAATTGACAGTACCTGCGTGCTTTTAAGTTCAGCAATTTCGCAAGTATCTATTGAGCGCCCTTTGTTCTGTGTGCTAGGGGGGGACATGACCCACACCTGTGATTCAGTCTGTTGCCCTCAACGTCTCTACGCCCCCCTTGTAGCAGTAGGAAGCAAACAAATCAAATAAAGACCGCCCGAGTGCGTTTCGCGGTCTAAAGGGTTCTGGAGGTACAAGAAGTCACTGGTTTCCTGGAGGCGCCTGGGCTTGTAGCTTGATGGTAACTGATTTGTGTGGGTAGAACAAGACAGGGAGGGCTCCCTACAGAACTGGTCATCCCAGCAGGTGAAAAGTATTGAGTGCTCAAGTTTTTCCTACGTCGATTCACACGTTGATCAAAAAAGCTGGCCAATTTTTTTGAACTGAATGGTTTCATTCTATTTGATTTCTTAAAAGGAGTAAGCATTGAAACAGGTCTCTTTGGACGCCAGGAGGGAAAGGTGCTTAATGAATAACGTAGAGCTACCTCACCTGCTGGCAGCCTGGAGGCCTTTGACATAATCGGCCATTTATTCTGTAACGGTAGTGTCAGGAAAGTAACCTGCGTGAATGATGCCCATTATTTGTGGAAGAGAGTGTGACGGAACCCAGAAACCTGCTAAGCCTCGCTGAGAGAAACCCGGCGGACGCTCTACCTGTCGTCCAATCAGAAGACAGCAGTGGAAAAACCTGAAAAGTTACACTGTTGAGGGACCCATAAACAAGTCCAGGAAGGGATCTCACAAAGGAGCTCTTCTCTGGGTCTGTGTCCTATCCGAACTGAGCCAAGTGTCTTTTTTCTCACTACTGGCCATTTTTCACTTGTTTCTTCACCAGTGGTTTTATTTAAATATCTTCCGTACAGTGCCTAAGTGGAAAATTAAGAATTTGATGTGGTTCTTTGGCCTGCCAGTCTGACCCTTTAGTCCTGTTACGGCTGGATTTTAGGCAAAGATGTGGGCAGACTCTGATTTGTTTCTTTGATGGTCTCACCCTGTAGCCCAGGATGGCTCCTAGCTCATCAAGTAGCTGAGACTGGCCTGGAACTCAAGGCCATTCTGCTACTTTACAGGACTAGATGTGAGCCTGGCTTGGGGAGGGTGGGGTCATCTGGTCAAGGAGTTAAAACAACAACAACAACAACAACAAAACCCAAAAGACCCAAATATCCCTTGAAAAATGATGACTGAGTCCTGTTAGAAAAATGATTTCTTCACATTCTCTATGGAGCACTGAAATTCTTAAAGGGGTATGTTAAAACAGGGAGGCTCTTCCTTTTATAGCGTCACCTAGGCCCTTTGGACTCCCTCTCACGTCATAATGAAGGCATTACAACAGGAATTACAGGAGCCTTCCTTTTAATCAGCCCCAACTGGGTTAATTGCAGTGACTCTTGGTAACACAACTTAATGGTAGAGAGTTTGAGTTGTAAAAGGTGTTTTGATCCTGTGTAAATCTTTAATGAGCAGATCTGCTTCCTACCCTTCAGGGAGCCATGGGCTCACCTGGGGTGCTTTCCACTCACGTCCCCCAGTGGGCTTTGATGTCCACTCGGTGCTCCTCCTCGTGCTGACTGGCCAGATTTTTTTTTTTTTTTAATATTTGGGGTATGTTGCCTTTGCTCATTGATTAATTAATACAGCACTCGCAAACCCTGTGTTTCTTCTCGTCTCCCTGGCTCAGACTTCAATCCTGAAGCTTGCTTTTCTGTTTTTGCTTTTTTGAGACAGGGTCTCTCTCATATAGCCCAACTCACTCTGGTTTCCAGGGATGACCTTGAACTCCTGATTCTCCTGCCTCCAGATTACAGAGCAATGGCCACCAAGTCTGGATTTTATTTGGCTTTTAAATTTAAGATGTGAGCCGGCAATAAGCAAGCCTGGGTATTTAAGGAGATAATGGAGGAAGCAGTACCTAGAGAAATTTATGAACACATATCCAAATCAGGGAGCTAACCTGGGCTTCGCCTCCTATCCCTCTGGAGGCTCAGCAGGCCCCACCTTCTTGGGACTCTGAGGTGTGTGATGCCAGTCTGGAGAGCTTGGGATTTCCTTATCTGATAGATCCGATAACTCATTGAACGCTCACCCTCATTTCTGAATACAACCCCCCTCCAGCCCTCCCCAAGTCCCCTACCCTATCCCAACCCCCACCCCAGCGATAAAATGGAAAGCAGCTGAGGACTGCTTCAGGTCAGTCTGGTCTGACTCCTAATGGGGAGGCAGGGTAGTGTGGTATAATGTGGTGTCACAGACAAACTATGCGACCTCAGGAGGGTCATTTTCCTTCTCTGTACCTCAGCCTTCTCGCTTTAGAACAGAACATACGAGCTGTACATGGGGTAAACCAAATTAAGTAACTTGTCAAGTGCTTGCTTGGCAAGCAGTGGATTTTCCTTTACGACAAACTGACAAGCCCCTCTGTCTGCCCTGAGGAACACTTATATAAAATGGTTCATAAAACAGAAAAGTAGGATGATTTTGACTGACAGCAGCCGTGGGGAGCCTCCCGAGCCGGCAGCCTCTCTTAGCCCTAGAGTGAACCCCCAAGGGGACTTCCAAAAATCCCCGTAACCATAAGTTTCGGGTGAAATAAAAATGACCCTATTCTTTATCATTTAGGTGTTTTGTGTTACCCTTTAAGTTACAGATACAAAAGAGAATAGGCCAGAGATGTGAAATAAATTGCCTATGTTCACATGGATATTAGTGTGTGAACCAGGGCTGGGGCCAGGGCCAGCAAATGCCAACAGAACACATTTTGTTTCTATGAAAGAACATACTGTGTCCATCCAAAGGCATTATTTCCAGTACTAAGTCATTAGACCTAAGAAATGTGAGTGAGAGGAGAGACTGCCTTAGAGTAGACAAGTTATGGTATAGCCATAGGATGGAATTATACACAGACATTAAAAAGCTTTTCAAGGAAGAAATTTCAAGGACCTGTAAGTTCTGAGGGTAAGGTGCCAAGCCCCTTGAACACAGCAGTTTCCATTGCAGTAAAATATTTATGCGTATGAAGCCGTTGGGAATGAGGCAGAATGTGCACAGCAGGTTTATGAATGATTAAAAATACTTTCCAGGTCAGGAGAGACAGCTCAGAGACAGAGTAAGGAGCTGAGTTCCACTCCCAAGGCCCATGTAAAAGCTGGTCGCGGGAGTGTGTCTATAATCCCAGCACTCCTGTATCCAGATGGAAGCCAAGAAAATGCCTGGCAGCTCCCTGGCCTGAGAGCATGGTGTATGCAGCAGTGAACGTCCAGAGGCTTTTCTCAACACGGTAGAGGTGTGACACCCATGGTTGTCCTCTGAATCACACAGACACACACACAGGCACACACACACACACACACACACACACACACACACATACATACTATACAAATTTCAGATAGTGGACACATTATACATTAGAAAAATTTTAATGGAATGGATGGCAGGAACAAAATGCCCTAAGAGGCAATACTAGATGAATATATTTTATTCTTTTTTTTTTTTTAAGATTTTATTTATTATGTATACAGCATGTATACCTGTACACCAGAAGAGGGCACCAGATCTCATAACAGATGGTTGTGAGACACCATGTGGTTGCTGGGAATTGAACTCAGGACCTCTGGAAGAGCAGCCAGTGCTCTTAACTGCTGAGCCATCTTTCCAGCCTTGAATATGTTTTATAATCTACCTTTTAAAGTAGTTTTTTAACAGCAGCTTAGTGGGCTTATAACTGTTTTTTCCTTTTAAAATTTTAATTTTTTTTTTTTTGGTTTTTTGAGACAGGGCTTCTCTGTGTAGCTTTGAGCCTTTCCTGGAACTCCCTCTGTAACCCAGGCTGGATTTGAACTCACAGAGATCCGCTTGCCTCTGCCTCCCAAGTGCCAGGATTAAAGGCGTGTGCCACCACCGCCCCGCTAAAATTTTAATTTAATTTGATGTGTATGGGTGTTTTACCTGTATGTGTTTACATGCATGCAATGCCCACAGAGGCCAAAAGAGGGTGATGGATTTCCCCAGGAACTGGAGTTGTAATTGTTTTTGAGTTGCCTTGTGGGTGCTGGGAATCGAACTCAGTTAAGAGTCAGTGCTCTTAACCGCTGAACCATCTCTTATCTCCTCTCCTCAAGATAATTTTTAAAAAATTATGGGATGATTTGGCCTGGTGGCTCATGCCTATAATCCCTGTACTTGGGAGGTAGAGGCAGGAAGATCAGGAATTCAAGGTTATCTTCAGCCAAGCAGTGAGCTGGAGACATGCCTGAACCACATGACACCTTATCCCAAAAAAACTAAAGGTGAATAAAGCATTACAACAAAATAAAAAACACACAATTGATATCTGGGAAACTCATCTACATATTTAAAATATGGGAATG